CATTTCTTAGTATGAATTTATATATTGTGTTATTTATATTGTAAGTAGTGTGTTATTAGTTTTATGCATAATTTTGTAGATTTATTTATATATATATATAGCTATATGTATGTAATCTTAATCCTGATGAGTACACCGTGGATAAATAAAGTTACCTTACCTTACCTTTTACAAACTGAGCTATCGACTCGAGTGTCCTTGACTCAACGGCTACCAAGCAAAACTTGACAAGTGTACAAGAAATATTTCTATGATTTTGGCAAACAAAAGGCGGCCTTGACATGACTCACGTGAGATAAACGCAGGATGCGATAATTCGCGTACTTACGTATCGGAGGTACGCCAATATTACGGTCTGGTACTTCTGTCTTTTCAGTCACGTACCACATAGGCACGCGGTACTCTTGCTATCTGCAAACTTAACCGCTTGTACCATTTGACCTTTCCAAGCCCAAGTTATTCAAAACCATAATTTACTCGGATTCGGAATATGTGCAAGCCAACATGACTTGACATTAAACATGATTGGACTGATATGATGAGATAGGAGTAAGAAATGTTAGTGTCGATGATGATGATGATGATCAACTTTATTTATTAAACAGATCGGAAGAGCACCTTTTCAACACACACGCTGATTTCCAAAAGAGGTGCATATATATAAATTACTTAGATTACAAATTAAATTAAAAATACAAATTATTGTTATTTTATATTGAAAATAATTCATTATTAAAAACAACGGTCGAGGAAGAAAGTTTTTCGCAAAACGAATCAAGAGATACCGACGTTCTTATCTCTTGGGGTATCTGATTCCATATTCGAGCCCCACTATAACTGAAACTTTTCTTAGGAATTCTGTCCTAGGTCTAGTGTCGTAGTGTTTGTGTATCTACAAACTACTTGTTTCAGGCTACTGAATGAATATCTTTCGGAAACCTGTACATTATGTACATTATATACTTCATTCTAAAGACTAAGTACACCTTGAGTCTTAAGTTTGTACCAGAGCTCAAGAATACGCGACAGTTACCATTGGAGCACCAGCAAGGTACGACTAAACAATGTTGAATTATCGCACCCTGATAAACGTTTAACAACATCCTGTGCACATGAACAAAACTCGTCAAGAAAAACTTGTTGACTGTGCACACGAGAAGGTAGACTTATCAAGGAAACTTGTTCAGGAAAACTTGCTTGTCTGTATGGGGATTTACTCTGAGCGTATCCACACTGGGCAAGCTCAAAAGTTTGTTTTAAAACCAATTCACTCGGGGTTTTACAGACGGTTTTCAAATTTTAATAATAGGGAGCTTAAGCAAGGATATATCCGGCATTATTTGGTGGTGGTGGTGGTGGTGGGGGTGCTCGGCCAGCTCTGGTGCCGAGTTGTGTGTGGGTCATGTGTGCCGCCCGCCCATCAACTTGCTTCACTACTGCAAAGTCTTGCTTGACTAATGTATTTGAATTGTAATTGTTGTTCACAGTTTGCTTATCATCATGTTATTACTCAAATTACTGTATCTCATTTTGTCTCTAATAATTTTTTGCTTAATCATGAAAAATAGCACCACCCTTGCACCCCCTCTGGCCAGGGCTAAAGGGGTGCAAATCCATCCCTGAGCTTAAGCATGTAGGACGGCAACACGACGACGACGGCAACAAACGAAAAGAAATAAATAATTAAAGTCCCGGGGGAGTTCCAGACGTAGTCCTCGCTCTGTTTATAACGGCAAATGACAGATTTTCACGTCTTTTATACAACGCCTGCATTTCCAGCCGCAATAAGTGCAACTTAAAATTCGGTTCAGTAGAACTCTTCCCAAACAAAGCCAATGTTTGCAACTTCTTATACTGTATTAAATTCATACGAATTATAATATACGACAATTTTTCTTTGCTATCGTTTATTTGAAAGAATTTCTTTTGGCCGTCGTCATCGTGTTGCCGTGCTACATGCTTAAGCTCCCTGACAACCGTCTCATTCAATACATAATACTTACATGAACGTGTGAGCAGAAAAAGTTAATCCTCGTGCTACGATCATATCTGTGGTGACATTTCTCTCCTCCGACATAACGTAACGTGAGATGACCCGCAGAGGAAACAACAGGACCGCTCATAAGGTATCCCATATTGTGAGCTTTGTTATTTAGGCTGTCCACTTGACATCCACCAATGCGAGCAGAATCTGCGCACTGATATTTTACATTGCCCGGATAATAACCGCTGCAAACATTAATGTAGTAGTCCAATTGTAAACGAGTGTCTTCGGCCATCCAATTATCTAAATATTTCAGAAGAGTTAGTTAACACTCTATCGAAAATGGTGGGTTTTCTCCAGGTACACTGGTTTTCTCCCACAGGGAATGTTGACAGAGTGGGTTAGGATTAGCCCCCTAACTGACCCTTTCACCATAGCTGTCCTCCGTGATCAGACATTAGTCATAAGATGACTGCCAGAGGCGCCCTTAATAAGCCTTCGACTCGATTAGGTTAAGCTGCGTCCTTCACAATTCAGCTTAGCTCTCAGCTGCAAGTAAAGTTGATTAGCAAAACGCACTTAAGATGGCTCCCTACAGTTGTTTATGCATTGGACTGGTATAAACGAAATGACGTGATCTTGCCGAGTTGAAATTTTATCACGTCAGCAAAAATTTCATTTGACCGCGCACTGTTTCCCAATAACTTTTTCCTTCGGTCAATTTTTCTGAAACTTTGTATTTTAAAAGTACTAGTAAAGCCCAGGTCACACTACACAACGATAACGACACGATAAATTGTAAACACGCGATAATTGGCAAAAAAATTGTGTTAGTGTCCACACAACAACGAAAATGATAAAATTATCGTTAGACGATAACGATAACGATTTTAAAATCGCCCACCTGAGCGATTTTTTTTTCAGCCGGACGATAACGATAATTTTTTGACCAATCAGCGCGCGTATACAAGTTATCGTATCGTTATCGTTGTGTAGTGTGACCTGGGCTTAAGTCATTTATTGCAATATACTCAATTTTTAAAAAAATTCTATAAAACAGTTTTTGTGGAACAAATTTCGCGCGATATTTCAAAAACTGAATTTATAATCCCCTATTTTTTTATATAATGTTCCATTACATATCCCCTTTACACCTACAGAATTTCAGAAACTTTGACCAAAGGAAATTGTATTAAAGTCATTTTTAGACCAAAATTTGATCTTTATCTGCTGTCGCTTAGGCCACATTATTACCATAGCAACACACAATTTGCCTCTTTCGAACGATTATATTTCAAGTATATTAAAGATTACGCAAGCGTTTCTACTTCAAAAAATCCCCATTTCACATCAATACCAAATATTTTGTGTCATTGTGAAGATCTTATTTTTCGCTGCTGTTTCTTTGCAACTGTATAGGGAGCCACCTGAGGATAGTTCGTCTAGACGCACAAGCGTCTGTGCGTGCAAAGACGGCACACAGACGAATAATCCAACAAAGCGAGACCGTGATACAAAAAGCCAGCGACTATTCGTTAAAAATTCAACATGGCTGCTAAGGAAAATAATGTTTCGGCTGCTTCCCCAGCTGTTTCAACATAAAAAAGCAGCGAAAGTCTCGTCAATGGACAGAAACAGAACTCAAATACTTTGCCCTTGTGCACGAAAAGACCGAATTTGCATAAAGACATCACACGCTTGCCCTCAGAAAACGGCTAATAAAACTGTGTTCGAAAAGATTTCAACTGATTTAAAAGAAATCATGTCAGGAAAAGATTTCAAAGAAGAAAATCGGCGCGAACATTGTTGTCGAATTTTGCCGCCAAAATGAGATCTAGTACCCATGCCTTTTTTACATTTGTTCGCGCAATTAACCTATTCGTCGGATTATTTGTCCCGTCTTTATACAGTTTACTAGACGAATAATATACGTCCAGACGCATAATGCGTCTCTAGCATAAAAACGGCCATTAATCAGTTTCGCATGAATTACAAAAATTGGTCGTGAAGAAAAAGGGGGAATCAATGAGAGAGTCAACGGTTCAAAACATGATTCTATGATGCAAAACTTAAACCTGGATGAGTGCATATCTACTATAGGGTGTATAAAAAAGTAGACAATTTTGAAACGGCTCTCAATTTCACAAATCTCCTTTCATTTCATGAAAAGTTTGATAAATATAGATGTTTGGGTATTTAACAAAAAAATTTCGAAACGATAAATTTTCCAGAGCAGGGGGATGTCTTTTTAGCAGCATTAAATATAGCGTTTTAAAAGTTTAAAACGCATTTCAAGTTCATGGTTCCAAATATCAGACAATTTACTCAATTTTAAGTCCCTTAAATAGCTGCTGAAATTTTCATTTTTTAGCACCAATGCCCATCACGCATGCTTAATTCA